ACCCCCAAGTCAAAGCCATGGGGCTATAACATGGCAAAGCCTGAGGTCTGCTAGGACTTCGTCTCATAAAAGGTAACCTGCTCAAGGGAGTGACTATCCCCCACCATGTTCACAAATGCTGTCTGAACCCAAGGGAAGGGATACTGTAGCACATGGACCAAGAGACAGGGGTCTGGGGGCTGTTCTTGTATTCTGCCATTGCTGTAATTTTTTTTCTGTCTGTGCCAATGGAGAAATTCACACTGTCATCTAGTTCCATGGTTCTGGATTCCACTTAGAGATCCAATGCCCAGATCTATGACCCCTATCTACCTGCCTACCAGTTATCTCTATTTGAGTGCCCAATGGGCCTTCTGTTAAAATCAACAGAAGCAAACAATGGATTCCTTTATGCCAAGATTATTTTTGGTTGGATGTAACAGAAAGTTGACTAGGTTTCTTAAACAAGTGAGAGATGATTCTCATATAGCAACAAAACTAAAAGCGGGCAGGTCAAGTTGATGTAGTAATTCCGCAGTATCCATGTTCCAAGCTCCTTTTTTTTTTTTTTTTTTTTTAACCTTTGCACCTGCCTTGCATCCTTCTGGTTATAATGTAGCTGCTGTCCCTCCAGCTTGTTTCTGCATTTCTGTCAGGTTGAAGGGCCATTTTCTTTTTTCTTTTCTTTCTGTCTTTCCTTCTTTTCTTTTTTTTCTTTTCCTCTTCTTTTTTTCTTTTCTTTGTTCTGAGCATCTCTTCTTTCTCCATACCCCCACAGCCTCTACTTGTCCTATTTCCACTGTCAGGACCATAGATAGCCTAAGCCACCCTGGTCTTTTGCCCGGATTTCTTCTGCAGAAGCTTCTGACCAGCCTCCTCGTATTGACTCCTGCCCTCTTATAGTGCATCTTGCTTATGAAATCTAGAATGACCTCCTCAAAGTGAATTTCTATGAGGTCATTCCCTTGCTGAAGACATTCACAAAGCTTCCCATATAAGATGAACACAGTTTCCTACGTAGCCTCCAAGGCCGTACAGTGTGCAGTGCTGCCGCCTCCCTGAACCCGTCTCCTCCTGGCTGTGTCCCGAACACCAGGCTTGGCCCCTGCTCCCCATTGCTCCATCTGCTGTAACGTTCCTTCGCCAGCTCCTCACCTGGCTCCCCACCTGCGTGATTCCCATCACTCCTCAGACATTCCCATCTCACAAGCTCCCACCCCTTTCTGTTACTATCTGTGCCCACCCTGTTTTATTACCTCATGTATTGTTTCTCGTCTTTTCCTGGTATGTGAGCCCCACACGCACCAGGAGTATCTCTAGCACTGGACTGACATGGAGGAGAGGCTCAGTGTCTTCTGCTCCATGACTACCTTCAGGGGCTCTTGCTCCCCCCTGGAACTGATCTTTTCTAATAGAGGATTATCTCCTTGATCATTCGTCTTCCCCGTATTATCTACTGCATGGAAGCAACCTCCTCCCAGAAAGTCCCCTCTCCAAATCTGCTGTCCTGCGATTCCCTTCCTCACACGGATGGGGCAGAGCTTTGAGTCTTCTTTCTCTTCTTTGCTTTCAGCTGTTTTCTGGAGTTACAGCCTCAGCTTCCTTTGTATAGAAGAAGCCATAGAAGGTCAAGGTGCCCAGTGGCTTCTTAATCTGAAGATCTGTATGAAGTCATATAATTCTTCCATCATTTCTTTGAGAATTTCTTTTCTCCTTTATGGAATGCTTATTGATTTTTTTTTAATTAAACTTCCTGGATTAATCCTCATGGTGTTTTTCTTTTCACCTAACTTTGCTCTCACTCTCTTTTGTTGTACAGTTTGAGAGACGTCCATGATTGTATGTTCTACCTCTTTTAACTTTTTACGTCCATCTCATGTTTTTTTATTTTCTAAAAAAACTCATTCTTTTTTTTTTTTGTAATAGCAACCTCTTCTTGTTTTATAGAAGCAATATCTTCTCAAAAAAAAAAAAAAAAAAGAAGAAGAAGAAGAAGCAATATCTTCTCAAATATCCCTGTAGGTACTAAGTAGATATCAAAGATCTCCTCTGTTACTTGTTTTCTTTGGAGTTCATTGTTCCACTTGTTTTTCTTGTTCTTTCTTCTTTATAGTGCTGTCTTTGCTGAAATAGCTAGCCTCAGTTGCCCATCCAACTAGAGGAATTATTCATGGTGTTTGTCACTGGTACCTCTGCCTTGGGTATGCTTGCCTGGTCCCTCTGTAGGGTGTGTCAGCCGGAGGAGCGTCATCATAGGGAGTGAGAGAAGAGAGCCAGCTGTTAGAATGGGGTCCCCACGACAGGATGAGTAGAATGGGATGCCATCGTTCTGCCCATATCTTTCATTCATTTTCCTGAGGGACACTGACCCTTTTTTATGGGGTAGGGGTATGAGTGCTAGAGATGCAGCCTGGTTGCTAGCCCCTTGCTTATGGAGGGTAAGGGTAAAGTGTCCATTGGCACAAACCATGATGTTGTGTCATCCCTCTTCTTGGCTCTGCCCTCCTCTTACACCAGTCCCGAGCACAAATCTCTCAAGTCTGCTGAGAAGACGGGGGTCTCCACTCTTTGTGATTCCTTTCTTGAGGTGGCCTGGCCAGGGGCTTCCTCCTCTCTGTTTTCTTTATTGACATACTCCTGCTTTCTGTCTTGTAGAAAGTTCTTAATCTCCTGGTAATTACTTCTTCTCTGCCCCTTTGGTTTCATTCTTCTATATCCCATTACCTTTGGCTTTTTGCCTTTTTTTTTCCTTTCTTTTTTGGAAGTCTATCAGAATTAAATTCAGGTACATAAAACAGAAAGTCCAAATACCAGTACCCCTCCCTTGCTTCTGGGACCTGTAATAAATCTTGTGACTCTATGTCCCTTCTGTGGGTATAATGAAACTGTACCTTTAGTCAAAACAAGCCTGTGGGGTTCATTTCCCCAGTGTGGGAGCTCAGATGCTCAGGGCTTGTGCCCCTCCCTCAGCAGGTCATAAGCTATATATTCTTTTTTTTTTTAAGGTTTTCTTTTCTTTTCTTTTTAAATAAGATTTTATTTATTTATGCATGTGTGTGAGAAAGAGAGAGAGCAAGCACAGGCAGACAGAGAGGCAGGCAGAGGCAGAGAGAGAAGCAGACTCCCTGCTGAGCAGAGAGCCTGATATGGGACTCCATCCCAGAACCCTGGGATCATGACCTGAGCTGAAGGCAGTGGCTTAACCGACTGAGCCACTTAGGCATCCCTAATCTGTATATTCTTAATCAGCTCTGGCTTCTCACTACTACAGTCTCAGTAGGTTTTCCAAGTTTTTAATTAGAACATTAAACATTCTGCTTTAGTCAGTGTATCAGTTTCAATATTGCTGCTGTAACATATTAGCATAATCTTAGTGGCTTAAAACAAGACAGATTTACTTTTCTACTCTTCTTTTTTTTTTTTAATTTTTAATTTTTTACTTTTCAGTGTACCAGAATTCATTGTTTATGCACCACACCCAGTGCTCCATGCACTACGTGCCCTCCATAATACCCACCACCAGGCTCACCCAACCTCCCACCCCCCCACCCCTTCAAAACCCTCAGATTGTTTTTCAGAGTCCATAGTCTTTCATGGTTCATCTCCCCCTCCAATTTCCCTCAATTCCCTTCTCCTCTCCATCTCTCTATATCCTCCGTGTTATTCCTTATGCTCCACAAATAAGTGAAACCATATGATGACTGACTCTCTCTGCTTGACTTATTTCACTCAGCATAATCTCCTCCAGTCCCGTGCATGTTGATACAAAGTTAGGATGTTTACCCTTCTTGAGGTCAAAAGTCTGAAATGAGTTTCACTGGGCTAAAATCAAGGCATCACGAGGCTAAAGGGAAGCATTTGTTCCCCTTCCTTTCCAGCTTCTAGAGATCACCTGGGCTCTGGACCCTTCCTCTGGGGTGGAAGCCAACCATATAGCATCTTCCAGACTCTCCCTGACTCTGACCCTCCTGCTTCCCTCTTACAAGGAATCTTAGTATTACACTGAGCCCACCTGGATCATCTAGGAGAGTCACTCCATTTTAAGACCCCTAATTTAATCACCTCTGTGAAGTGGCTGGCCATGTAAAATAAAGTAACATTCACAGGTTAGGGTGTCAATGTCGTAGACAGGCTGTGCCTACCACAGGCAGCTCTAACTCAAGTTCCAAAAGAATTTTCCTTTTTTTTAATGTGGTTCCTTCAGACTGCTGCCCAGAAAGGCTTAGCAGAGAACCATGATTTTTCTTGAACAGATTTTGGACCTAATTCTTAGGAGAATTGGAAGCATCAGTCTTACTCTTTTAAAAAGCTAAAGTTCATTCTGTTCCAGACTTTTGAGAAACTTTCCAAATGGTGTGGTCTAGTTTGCATGGCATTTCCAGCAGGATGGTTATAAACATTGCATTTTATTTGACTTTTTACATGAACTAATATGTAGAAAGTTTTTTCATCAGAAAAGTACTTCTGAGCAAAATTTCTTTCTATTAATTGATTTTGGAAATCCTAAACTACTTTACCTCCATAATGATGCATTCACTAAACATTTTTTTTTGTATTTACTGAACATAAAATTTTTCAGAAAAAAATAATTCTAGTGTGAAATACTAGATGATACCCAACCATAACTACTACCAGAAACCCAAAACTCTTACTCTGAAACCAGAACATTTAGGATAGCTAAATAATTTTTTAAAGATTTATTTTATTTTATTTTATTTTATTTTATTTATTTGAGAGAGAGAGACTCTCCGGCAGGCTCTGCTGAGCAGGGAGCATGACACAGAGCTTGATCCCTGGATCCTGAGATCAAGACCTGAGCTGAAACCAGGAGTCAGACCCTCAACCAACTGAGCCACCCAGGCGCTGCTGAGAACTTTTTAACAAAATTTAAATATAATTACATTTTCTTCTGTCTTTTTATTGGAGATAGTAGTGGTTCATTTTCTTTTATTGGCTTTCCCCCCTCAAAGAATGTGTTTATAGCTGAGACTTTTTTTTTTTCCCTGTTTCTGTCTTTATAGCTGAAGAAATGTATAAAAACTCCAGAAATCCCTTCTAAACATGTTAGGAACTGGGTCCCAAAGGTCTTGGAACAACGGCGACAAGGTTTGGAAACATACTTACAGGTAAGACGTGTTTAGATCTTCAGTTAATATAATGTAGCTTAAATAAACTTGTATCTCAATATTTTATTCTCACAACTTATGGTGAGATGCAAAGTACATGAAGCAGTCAAACATTCTCGATTAAAATAAAAAAGGTTTAAAATTATAAATATGTTGTTGGTTCTTTCAGCTTTGATCACCTTCTATTTGTAATAATGTGAATGGAGGAAGTGAAAATTGCATGTTACTGTAAAAACCAATGGAGAGAAGGTCTGTCCATTTTTTCAGTTCAATTCTACACATTACTGTGTCTTTGGGGTTTTTTTGTTGTTGTTTTGTTTTGTTTTCTCTCCAAGATTTGTTGCTTTCTCCTAGCATTTGCCAAGCTATGTGGTTTGGGTTGCTGGGGACATAGAGAAACTGAATTTTCGTTGGGTCTGGCTAGTCCATCTGTGGAATCATGTTGAGAATTGGAGTATAAAAATTGCCTCTGATGAAGGACCGACCTTGAAAATTAGAATGTGTGCTTTTAAAAGAATGCGTTCACATGCTCTTTTCTGCCACTGAGAGGAGCAAGCAGAACTACGGAAGTTGGAGGATAAGACAACAACTTGTCTGGAGTAAAAAGGAAAAGCAAAAGGAAGGTTGGAACAATGTCATCTTCTCTGTTTTGCTTTTTTTTCTCTCTCTCTCTCTTTTTTAAGATTTTATTTCTTTATTTGATGGAAAGAGAGAAAGAGCAAGCACAAGGGGAACACAGGCAGGGGCAGTGGCAAGCAGAGGGAAAAGCAGGCTCCCTGCTAAGCAGGGAGCCTGATGCGGGACTTGATCCCAGGACCCTGGGATCATGACCTGAGCCGGAGGGAGAGGGTTAACTGATGGAGCCACCCAGGCGCCCCTGTTAGTTTCTCGGCTTTAAAATACAAAGGGCAGAGGCTTAGTATGAATATTCTATGTCCTAGTTGATCCACAGAGCACCACAGAGGGCAGGTGCTGGGACGGCTCAGGCCAGGTGCTCAGCCACGACACTGATCCCCTGAGAGAGATGCGTGGGAATGACCCAGTGAGTGTGACCGAGGGGATGAGGAAGAGAAGAGCTGGACCTCACCCAAGGGTTACGGCTTAGCCATGATGATCTCTCCCTCTGAGACATGTGATGTCGAAGAAACAGCAGCTCATACTGTGCTTTCCACGAATAATACCGCGCGACCCCTTTAAGCTTTCATGCCAGAATAGATGCTGTGTAGACAGGTCACTGTTGGCTCTGGGAAGCCAGCACGCTGTGCGCGTGACAGACTTTCTGGGTGGTTGTGCCTGAATCGCTCTCGGTTAGAAGTTGTGGAGAAGCTGGCCCCGCAGGCTTGTACTCGGTGGTAAATTCAGACAACTCTCTCCCAGTACAAAGATGCCAGGAGTCTCTTGGTGGCCTTGTCTAGTCTTCCTGTCTTGACAGCGTTCAGCAAGGAAAGCTGACGTGCTGAAGGCCTGGCGAGCATCTGAGGAGGGTTGTCTATACTGTTCTTGTGCTGCTTTGGGGCGCTGTGGACAGACCCTTCCCTGCGTCTCTCTGGAAGTGGGAGATGAAAGGAGACAGGGCCACAGATGACAGGAACGTGTGTGGCGGCGTTTTTGAGGCTGTGTATACGGGGCTGTGAGACTTCCAGAGCTCCTGGCAACACTGTCAGGCAAAACCAAACCAAAAAAACCACGAGACTTTAGACGTTGTATGCAAAGGGTAAGAATTCATGTTCTCTGTAATTAAACGAAATAGGTAAACAATGCATGCTTATAGGCCACATTTTCCACAGATATTGTATATCTTCAGGCTTTCGCTGTGAAGCGTGCTCCTCTTTTTCCTCCCGCTGAATTTGACACATGACTTCCATTACCCCTCAGTGTAAACGGTTTAAGTTTGTACTTTGGATGTAAATATGCAGATAAAATCATCTGGCACAGAGAGGAGTTTACAATGACTCTCAAATTGAGCTTAGAATTTTCTATTCTCAGAAATAGGGCTTGAAAGATGTGGTTGGGGACCGAGAGGGCTTGCTTCCTGTCATGCATTTAATATTCATTTTCTTGTCACTTAGGTCCCCAGGGAGGTCCAAGGAGCTCTCTCATCTCCCTTCTCTTCCTGATTCCATTTGCGGGCAGTGGGAGTTGGATGGAAGTTGCAAAGATGATTGGGAATGCTTTATCAATGTCAAATGAAACGAAAACCCTGGGTCGCATGTCAGTTTTGGATACCTTTTGATGTTCAAGTCTCTGTAGGAGTAAGACAGTCTCGGCGTGCGCTGGACAGGATGGCCCTGTTCTGGCGGTAAAACTGAGAAGGTGTTCACAGCCCACCGCCGTAGCACCTAAAGCTCCTGGTGACATTAGAATGTTTTCTAGTCCAGTCCGCCTCTTGCCTCTCAGTTGTGCTCAGGATTATTTTTCTGGCCTCAGTTTCCCAATGATAGAACAGGCAGATTAGCACTTGAGAGGGCCACAGAAAACAACTGTGCCCCTTGTCCAAAGATTGGCTAGTACCTTCAGGACCATGGGGGAGTGTGACAGCATTCCCTAAGGTTGCCCACACTGATCTTCTATTTTAGCGATGGAGAAACTGAGCTCTGGTGTGGTTACGAAACCTGCCTCGCTCCCTGGAGTTCATCAGTTAAAGACCTGGACTGAAATTTTAGTTTCTTAACTCCCTGGAGGCTCTTTTCATTCTGCATTGTGGATTTCCTAATGTCTCAGCCTTGACATAGTTTCATGTAAGGATATATTTATTAATAATCATAAAAGAAAAGGCCCTATAATCATAAAATCACAATTTAATTAACTGCCCCTCGACTCCCTTGATAGATTGGTGATTTTTTTATTTTGTTTTTGTTTCTGTTTTGTTTTGTTTTTATTTTGATTGGTTATTTTTTAAATCTGTAACTTGAATATGTAGAATCCTGGAAAAAGTGTCAGCATACATCTGTTTTTCCTGTTACGTCATCTGCAGAGAAACCCACATCTTAAGAAGAATATATTACATTGGGGGGGGGGGGGCGGTCCCAAAGTGATTTGGCCCTAGGGCATGGTTTATAGAATACATCCTGTTTTTTTGTTTTTTTGGTTTTTTTAAAGATTTAATTTATTTGACGGAGAGGGAGAGCACAAGCAGGGGGAGTGGCAGGCAGAGGGAGAGAGAGAAGCAAGGTTTCTGCCGAGCAAGGAGCCCATTGCGGGGCTCAATCCCGGGACCCCTGGGATCATGACATGAGGCTGATTCCTAACCAGACAAGCCATCCCAGAATACATCCTGCTTTGAGATGACTTCCCATTTTTCTTGAGACCCCCTCTGAAATAAAAGTACAAAAACTCCATAAGGAATGAACCTCTACAGGTCCATGCATGGATAGGCGAGGGGGAAATGGATCATCAGAGGATGAAAAATTTTTAACAACTTTCGAGAAGATGGAATGTTCTGCTAGTGCATTAATGGATACAGCAGAGAGCAGAAAGCAGCAACCCCGAGAGCCTGTGGTAGAGGCAGGAGGCTACCTGCCCGTGGCTTTGCTGGAGGATTTCTGGATTCAGAATCGGCAGGTGCAACTGAGAATCAGTGGGGCCATTCAGAGTGAACACATGGGACAGGTGGCCCAGCCACGTGTTCTCTATAGAATATAGGCAGCCTGATGTTTGTGACTGGGCCAACAATATTTTCAAAGACTTTTCTCTGCAAAACAAAACAATACACCGAGATATTAAGTAGAATGACCATGGAGAGCTAAGGCTTCTCGTATAGATAGTAGGGCCCCCAATTCACAACCCTGTCCCTGCCAACTGAGCCCGGAGGACAGCTGACCACATTGCACACTCCGCCCACACTGTCTTTCCACGTGGAAGGAGGTCCGACAGAGCCACAGAGGAAAACCCACACACGCCCCGCCGCCCACTGCTTTCTTCAGGGAGATCTGATAACCAGGGATCACCAGGCCTTTGAAGAACAAAAAAGACCGAGATGAACTGAACCACTGGCTTGTCAGCATAGAGATAATTCACAACACAAAACATGTCCCCAAAATTGGCTTAATAAATCTAGAGAGCTGCCCCAAAGCCTTACACCCAAAAGGTGACACTAGGAAATTATAAGTCGAGCGGTCAGGGACACAGAGGAGTTCTTGGGATTTGTTGTGTCCTCCCACTGGAACTATTACGTAGCTGCTCTCCATTTGGGAAGCCGTTCCCAAAAGTACAGCTACAAAATCTCTCCATCAAAAGATAAGACGCTGCAGATCTATCCAGGTCTGGAGTCCTAGAAAGAAAGAAGAGGGGAAACTACCCAAGTAAAGGAGGGGATAATCAAAGGAAAATAGTTGACCATTTCCCCAAGCTGGGGGCTGGGAGCTTTTAACGGAGACAAGGTGCAGAGCATCAAGAATGATGGAAACCAGGGTGCCTGGGTGGCTCAGTGGGTTAAGCCGCTGCCTTCGGCTCAGGTCATGATCTCAGGTCCCTGGGATCAAGTCCCACGTCGGGCTCTCTGCTCGGCAGGGAGCCTGCTTCCCTCTCTCTCTCTCTGCCTGCCTCTCCGTCTACTTGTGATCTCTTTCTGTCAAATAAATAAATTAAAAAAAAAAAAGAATGATGGAAACCCACCAAAGCTTAGACACATTGGCAAAATATTAGTATGTCGGAGATGAAGATCCATCCATACTCTTCCAGAAAAGAAAAACAAAGTGTGGTCAAGGTTGAGGTTCATTGGTGGATCCATTTCCTTATCCGAGGCTGGCTTCCTAGGCGGGTCCTTCTCTGTTCTTCCGTAGCAACGTGAAATTGCTAGCTGGCTTGGTTTTTAGACAGCCATGGTCTGTGGGAAGTTTGCATTCAGACCTTGTTGCATCTGTTGCAATACTGAGAGATTTACGTTTCCGAGAAAGGGACCCACGTGGTAGGTCACTTCCTTGAGAACAGCAGAGGCTTATGTTTTCCTCTTTTTCCTAAGGAGGGAGCCACAGTTAAATATACAGGGAGGGGCAGCTGGG